TATTTTCTTGTACTTAGTATAAACTGTAACATGCAATAATTTTATGTTTTGCTCTTTATAAACCACTGTACTCATCTTATCAACAAAAAACAACTTCCTGTTCAAACCTGCAAAACTGATGACTGATTTCACCAACCTGCCTCTCACCAGACTGATATGTGGTGTCTCTGAATGGAGTTATACACATCAGTCTGGAACGGCTCTTACTGGAAGTGATCAAAACCAGTGATTGGAATGTTCAAACAAAGACTTCACACTGATTGGTCGAAGTGTCACAACAGTAGAACAAGCTGAAAAATCTAACTTTACTTAAATCCGGTTGAGAGAAAAGCACAGACATCTTCCCTGTTCACAAGTTCACAAAGCGCTTCCCTCTACATTTTTTAAAAACAAAATAGTTTTTTATTATTGCTAAAACAGGTAGAAGTAGGTATTGACTTTGCTGTTTGTTTTGGTTCTTTTGGCGTTGGCTTCTGCTTCTTTTTGTAAACTTCATCTTGTTAAGACCCCACCTCATCATAGTGAAGAATTTCTCTGTAGCAACCTGTAGATTTTCATTTACATGTTTTATTATTGGAAATGGTGACAATGGAGTCAAATTTTTGAATAACTAATAATAAAATAAAAGTAAATGAGGAGAAAGTGCATTCAAACCTCAAAGATTCTAAGATTATACGCAGGACAATATGCCAGAGGAAAATCTCTTGATGTTTCCCGTGTATGAACAGGGCATACTAGAACTGCCTCTGAATACTAAGAAAAAAATTGTGCTATAAGATGTTCATTTTAAAATCTTTGAATTGTTTAAGGTTTAAGGTGGGCCTTTTGACCACTTTTGTCTGTATGGATTTATGATAAATTTGATGATTATGATAAATTTGTTTAAGAAATGTGAATTCTTTTGTTCTTCTCAAGATTGGGCCCTACAATGTACAGTTCCTCCATAACTGTATATTATTTTAGTTTCAAGCAAACCTGAGCACCTGTAGGAACTGTATGCAGACACTGGGACAACATGCAAACTCCACAGACAAAAGCCCATGGACCCAGGATTCTAATGAGGCCAGGGACGATGCCAACCATTGCTTCAGTACATTTATAACATCTCTGAAAACAAAATATGGTATAGAACAAGTAAATAATCTGCTGTAGGTGTTCACTGTAAAACATATATTTAATCTCAGTAACTTTCATGAGGTAAAGTGAAATACTCATATGAACATATATTCTGAATTGAAGTTTATGTAAAGCTAGCGATATTCCATACTGTATGTGAGCAGAGCTTCATAACATTTTCTAGTAGTACTTTTTCCTCCTGACCCATATGAATGCATACTTACCTCCACCCTACTCCACTGCCTCTGTTCTCTCAGTCCACTATCCTCCAACCACCCTAAACCCAACAGTACATCTTACACCCGTACCTCCCTTTGCTCCATGTCATCCCGTCACCCAAAACTTCCAGTATATGTCCTCCCGCTCTGAAAGGAAGGATCGAGGGGAAGGAGGGGAGAGGGAGCAGAGAGATACCAGTCTGACAAACCCAAGCCCCCTTCAGCCTGTCAACAGCAACCTGGCCCTGAGGCTACCACTGTCACCCAACACACAGTGGCATGGTGAGGGAGGGAGGGGGAGGGGTGAGGAGAGGGGAGGAGAGGACAGAGAAGTGGGGTGGGGGGTCTTAGATAGAACACCAGGTCGGATTTATACACTGACAGAGAGAGCCAATTATTAGCAGTGACACGGTAGGGAAATGGGCGTGCGAGTGGGACGGAGGGGGCGTGCAAGGGACAAGGGAAAGAGAGGGGAGAGAGAGGTGAGAGGAGGGTTGTAATTGTCTCTTGGACAGAGGAAGTTAGTGGGAATCGCATCCATTCAAAACACAAGAGCAGGAAGTGGTGACTACTGCAGGAACTTTAGATTTACTTTCTTAAAGATAGGATATTTAACTTCTATGGAGTATTAATTGCTAACACATAGCATATTTAGATCACCATGTTACCTTTGGTTGTTTTAAACATGCAATATTTGCCTAAAACAACATTGTAAGATGTAAAGTATAATTTTCACTTTGGTTTGTGAAAAAATTGCCATATGTAGAACATTTAAAGCTGAAACATGGGTAAAACAAAGTTTCTTTTTTTCATTTTGTTGTTGGTATATACAAAAAACTGCAGGCATTTTTGATATCTTATTTAGTATGGGAAAAAACTCTTGCAGAAAATCATCCTAAAAATTCAGATTTTACCTCATTGCGATCCATGAAAATATTAATATAAGTACAACATTGTAACATATAAGTACAACATTGTAAAGTTTGATGTATACACGTCCAAGAGGCAATTCTTATGTCCCTATGGGAGGAAAGTGCATTTTGAGAACAATGCCTTTGAATTTACAGTGTTCCATACAAATCTATGGCTCCAAGTTGATTAAAATAAATAATGAAACCTATTTAGGAGCAGATTCAACCATTTGGTTCTTTCCAGTTGTCTGTAGTATCTCCCTTTAAAAATGTGTGTATGAATACTCTGCAGCTGATGTCATCAACATTTTCTGGGAGGATGAAGCTAACTTGAGGCACTACTGTGTCTGAAGTTCTGTTACAACCTACACAGGACCATAAATGATTGTGTTGATCACAGACTCCTGAAAATGTGTTTAAATATATCTTTCTTTAGTTTTCTGACTTTTTGGACAGTGTTTGCTAATGTGTTCATTGTGTCACCATGGTACCTACTCAACCACCCAACACACGCACACACACACACGCACACACACACACGCACACACACACACGCATGCACACGCACACACACACACACACACACACACACACACACACACACACACACACACACACACACACACACACACACACACACACACACACACACACACACGCATGCATTAGACTTGTATGTGATGGGACAGGTGCCAATACTTGAGTCATGTGACACTGACTTCCTGTCTGCAGTCAGGGCACTGGGGGCTCGTCAATAACCTTCTCTCATCATGGTCAACAAATTGTACTATAAGGCCTCTTTTTTGTTTACCTCTAGATACTAAAACGCACATTGACACAACTCCATCAGGGCTGTAGTCATTTAGGCCTTTATTTGATCGGTCAATGGTGTCTTAGTCAAACACATTTTGTATTAGTCGACTAATTATTTCATTTTGATGATAAGGATGAATATGAGACAACAGTAGAAAGTGAGTGGGACTGAGTGAGTGAGTTGACTAAAGACGTGGTATATTTGTTGGTATATTATAGATGTTTGCAAAAGAGGATTGTAATGTGTGCCAAAAAATAAAACTATACACACTACAACACACACAAGTTAACTATACACAACTAACTATCCTATTAATTATTTATGAATACATTTGAAATTTTTATTTATTTATTTATTTACTCTTAAATGTTCTTCAGTCCCTCAGTTCGTAGATCTTGAAATGTGATCGTTTTGTTGGGAGTACAGGCGCAGTTTGAAAGCCAACACTGCCCTCATGTGGTGAATGTTTGTGTGAAAATCAAACAACTTCAAACGTGAGCACGAATTCACAAAAAGAAAAAGATACAAACGAAAATACTATTACTACTTACTTTTTACTTTCACAGGAAGGACTTCGACAGTACTTGACCACATGAAAAAAGTGCACATGTACAGTCATGTAACTTTGCTGTCCATTCAATAGAGTCATTTATCAAAAATGTATTTAGCATGACAACATCCACAGAATACTCACTTTTACATAACCTAATTGGTGTGGGCATAAAATCTTGTGCAGACTAAATAAGTCTACAAATTATCAAAGATAGGCTTACATTCAAATAAAACAGCTCCGTCCAGTCCATTATGGGCAGGTGTGGTTACATTTACTCAGTTACATTTACATGGGTAACTATTCGAAACATAATTTTAGTCTTACTTGAGTACTATTTTAATAAAGTAACAGTACTCTTACTTGAGTAAATTTTTTGGATAATCTTCCCACTGTGAGTAAGTCGATAAGTGACAAACGCTTCGTGACGATGATATGAAATGATTTGAACATTTAGATATGATTAACTTTTTATATAGTAATGTATTTATTAGTCAAAGACAAATATGCAGAACATATGACAAGCATGAAACAGAAATTATTCAAAAAAAGATTAACCCTGTGACTCAATAGTAAAAAAAAAAAAAAAAAAAAAAAAAAAAGTATTGTTTTGTGTCATGATCTTAAATAGCACTTTAACAAAAAATGACATAATTCCTTATAGCATTGCACCATAGTGTCAGGTGACAGAGGCTCTCCATTGTTCTGCTAGTTATATTGTGGACAAATGTGAAAACCAGGACTTAACCAGGACTAAACCAGGATCAGGACTATGAGAAAACCAATACTTAGTACTAAACCATGTGAAAACTAACCAGAACTAAACCAGGACTTAACCAGAATTAAGCCAAGAGTACACCAGGACTAAACCAAGACTAAACAAGGACTAAACTAAGATTTAACCAGCATTAAAACAAGACTAAACTAGGGAGAAATCAGGTGAAAACTAACCAGGCTTGAACCAGGACTAAACTGGGCCTAAAAAGGACTAAACCAAGACTAGACCAGGACTAAACCATGTGAAAACTAACCAGGACTAAACCAGGACTAAGCTAGAACTAAAAATAGGGCGAAACCAGGACTAAACAAGTTTTCACACTCTTTTTGATCTATTACAGTTTATCATAGTGATTTAGAAACTAAGTCTATTATACTTATATAATTTATATTTATTTGTATTTCTGAAATTGACACTGAATAGTAAATTTGCAAATATCCAAAAAAATAAATAAAATTAGCATTTTCACAAGCAAATATTCAGAAGCCAGACGGATGTGTCTCTCAGAATGACTCCTCCTGTAAAGTTATCTCTGTCACTGGCTATACTGTAACAATATGAAGAAATTAAAGCCACAGCGTGTAATTCTTTTTTTTTTTTTTTTTTTTTTTCCCATAATGGGTGTTTTTATTACACTGAAAAACATAGAAAAACATGCATGAGCAGGCTTGCATCTCCACAAACCTGGCTCTTATTTGGCCTGGAAGAGGGCCTCCTCCTGTTTGTTTCCATGAAGATGTTGTTCCTTTGGCTATAACCTTCCATAGTGTGTGTAAAACGAATCTCCATGGAAATATTTTGAAGTATGGTTTTAACTTTTAATTTCCACCTCCAGAAAGCTACATACTGTCACTTTAAATACAATAATAACAATATCATCAGATAATTTTTATTTTATTTATATAATATATTTATTTTATATTTATTTTTTGGTCACTTGATTTTTGTCCAGCTTTTGACCTTCTCTGAAGTAAATAGCTACAGACACTGATGGCACATTAGTACACAGAAGCTCCACTAGAGGGCAGCAGTCAGTGGTACATGGCCTCAGACAGCCCTGTGCGTTTAAAGTCCTGAACCACTTGTTTGGAGTGGCTCATTTTGGCCGACAGCGCCTCCAGCACATCGCTCTGGTCCACTGCTGTAGCCATGCCATAGATGAAGGTGCCCAAAGACTCCAGACCACGCATGCCCAGGTTCACCCCACAACCTGAGGAGCACAAAGATCAATGTACAACTGCACCATCATCTGGCCTGGCAGCTTGACTTTCCTGAACTACCCTCCGCATAAAGTACATTCTCTGTTCTGTAAATACTCACACACACAAACACATTGTAGTAGACTACCTGTGTTGAAATTGAGCACGCAAGCCGGCTCTCCCCCCAACACACACACACACACACACACACAAACACACACACAAACACACACACACACACACATTTCACAGTAGATCCAGGGGTGGAAAATAACTACTAATTACAAATACTCATGTTACGGTAACTGGTGTATTTTTGGGATAAATGTATTTTTTGGAGTACATCTTTAAACCTGCATGTTTATTGGTAATGAAGTATATTTCTAGCCATGTAATTGTAATTAGTTGCATTTAAAATCACAAGAGTTACTGAGTATAGCACAAGTCATAATTGATCCTATATACTGCTGTCTCACCTACTCACCTCCTCACCTGCTCTGATTGGTGAAGGCTCAGAAAACATACCAACTACTTAATTCAGTTTACCGTATTTTCCACACTATTAGATGCTCTGGATTATAAGGCGCACTGTCATTAAATGGTCTATTTTCGAACTTTGTTCACAAATAAACCGCACCGGACTTTAAACGAAACACAACAGTTAAATGACTTTAGTTAGAGTTAGGTGACTCTCGGCTTTGTTCAATTGTGGCGTGTAGGGAGGGTGCTGTCTGGGACCGCTGGATTGTTGGCGTGTTCGCAGTGACTCAGTTGTTCACTTGTGGCTAGAAGTGGCACATTGCACTCGCTTTTTCGGTTCGTTCCTCTGTTCCATTCCTCGTTTGCGTGGCTGCGGGTGGTTTTGGCTGCGCAGTCGCTGCCTGCTCCGTGCGTGTTTGTGTGCGCTGCGGGTTGTGTGGCTTTATAGTTTACTGAAGTTGTGCTGGGATACCCGAGTGGATTTGTGTATAGGGCGCTCTGGATTGTGGGGCGCGCAGTCGTTTTTTGATGAGGTTTGAGAGCGCGCCTAATAGCTCGGAAAATACGGTAGTTTATCAAGACTGACTTAAAATGCTCCTAAAATTGCCAAAAAACTAGTAACTAGTAACTACTATAGTGTTTTGAATGTGCACTTTACTTTTACTGAAGTACAATTTTGGCAGCAATACTTTTTCTTGTAACTGAATACATTTTTGCCATGAAATTGTACAAATTTACAGTATTCTTTCCACCACTGAGTAGATCTAACCTGTATCAAAGTTGAGCACACGGGCCGCCTCCCCCTCCACGACGACGGCCACGTTGTCCCCAGCGATGTAGGCAGCGCTGACGGTGCGGTGGGACAGCTGCACTTCAAACAGACGTCTGGAGCACTGGAGCTGATGCAGGGTCACCTCACTCAGACGTGGCTCGATGTCTGTCTTGTACACGTTAAACGACTGGTGGAAAATGTTCTTCATGATCTGAGCGCACAGGGGGGTGGGAGAGGGTAGTACTGTTACAAGTTTGTTAATGTGGGACTCTACACCTAAACTCTGTCCACAACCACATTACATATAAATCTCCTAAACTGGGCAGTAATGGGAGAGAAGAGAGTGAAAGAAGAGGAGGGGCGAGGTCTAGAAGTATGTTGTAATCAGAAATGCCTGACTTTAATCAGGGAAGTCTGTCGTGATGTCATCAGCTACTTGAAATTGCAGTGGCCACAGGAGGCAAAAACTTAAATATAGGTGTCTTTGACAAGAAAACTGTAAATTTACTTGGTTGTTACCAAGGTTTACAGTTGCCAAAAAATTACTAGAAATAGTAGATAATGCTATAAATACACCACGGAAACAGTGAAAGTAGTGAAAAAGGTGGATTTAAATTTTCAAAGCTTATGGTTATCTTAGCCTCTATTGAACTGCTTTACTCTTCAGTACTTTAGAATAACCTGAATAACCTTGCTTTTATTTTTGATTTGATTTTTGATTTTACTTTTACCTTTTGAAGTCTTCAATATTTCTTGGTGCACCGAGAAGTAAAGCATTTTCAATGGGGCTAAAATAATAGCTGTAACTTCAACATTAAGCAAAGCTAGGGGTTAAATTGTCAAGACGATTCTAAAGGTATGGAGTTTAAAAGCACAGTGTAGCATTTTCTCTATTACCACATATTCACATGACAAGGAGAAACAGAGTGTCTTCAGTCTGAGAGAAGAACACAGCCTAAATATGCACAGTTTGTGTGTTAAACATGTGTGAATGAAGAAAACACAACTCCAAGTATGTTTGTGATGAGGAAACAATGTTAGAACAAAAGAGTTTGCTTCTCCATATATTGAATCCACCCTTGCATTTACAAAAATCAGTACATTCATTAAAAAAGGAATTCTGACTATTACTGTGACTTGATTATCTAGAATTGCTTGTCTCCACTCTTCTTTACCCCATACTTTGCACAGTCCCCCGTTTCCAGGTAACAGTGCACTGAATGGGCCACCCACATAGCAACAGCGCAGTGGAGATGAGGTGGACTCAGTGAATACCTGTGTGAACGGTCATCCACTTGCACACCTCATCCACCGCTGCAGACGCCATAAAAGAAGAGTTATAAAAGACAAATTTTACACCTGTTTGAGATGCACTTATGCTGCGGAGCAGATTAAGTGACAGCACATGTCTTCCCAGGCTATGTACGTTGTGTGTTATGCAGCCTAGTGTGCAGACAGGGCTAGCAAATACTATAAGTTAACTATGCAGCGTCACCTTTTTGTTTCTATGGATATGTTACTGCTCTGCTTGGAATGTTCAACAATATGACATTTAACAGCTTTACTTTACATTTATTCAATTACAAGTGGTTTTATAGCTCAAAAATATCTAGATAAACAAATCTGACCTGTTTGGTTTGGTTAAGGTTTAATGCCATACTTTGAAACATTCCAGACAAAGAAATAATCTCCATGAAGAAAAGCATTTGATGGAACCTCCACCAAGAAAGTTACACAATGCATATCTAAAGTGGAACTAATCGTTAAATCCAATACTTTTTTTAATGGCAGTGTTATAGTGTTGCAGCTAGGTGAATGTGAACCTTTGTGGTCAAAAACATATAAAACTGAATGCCTCTTTTGGTTTGACACAGAAAAAAAGAACAGGAAAACCTCAACCATCACAGATCACTGCAGGAGAAAGAGACATATTATGTACTGGCAAAATGTAAAAATAAAATGTTCACAGGACAGTAAACAGGAAGGAGGGGGCCTATCAACTTTTAAGGACCTGGGATGCTGTTCTGGAGAAGTCAGGCTGCAGATGGCTCTAGCACTAATACTGAAAGACTAAAAATTATCTCTTTGAAAGGAATAACTAATATTAATATAATACTATAACATTGATCGTAAAGCCACTCACAGAGGCGTTGGCGGTGTGGCGGAGGAAGCGGACCATCTTAGTGTCAGAAGCCGGGCAGACCAGGGCCATGTAGCGGTTCCTGAAGGTTCCGTAGATCTTGAGGTGGAACCCTGGCTTGGCTGAGGGGTTCTTGTGTTCTCTGAGGGCCTCCACACCATATGCAGACAGGTCGAAGAACAGGCTGTGAGCACGGATCTCAGGGGTGGGCACCTGCATGGAAGAGAAATAAATAATGAAATCTATATCCACTTTGGAAAACTATAACTATAGACCTCAAATCAGAGTATCTCTACTCAACATGCATGCTCGCTTACTTTGTTCAAGAGACAATACAATAGTATAAACACTATATATTAACTGATACCAGTGCAGAGACAAAACAGTATTTATTACCTTTAACCAAAATAAATAAATAAATAAACAAAACAAATGTGTTGTAGAATTTATTTATTCCTCTATAAATATAGAACTATAGAACAACTTTCTATAAATAAAACCGACTTTGATTAGTAAATACTTTCATTACATCAATGTATATGTTCAACCAAGACATTGGCTTACTTGGAAACCGATATCTGATCCAGCATCTTTTTCATTATCAGCACTGATATCAGATACCAGTATTGGATTGGTGCATTCCTACTGCAATGATTAGAACTTAGAGCTTAGAACTTTTTAAATATGGTTTGGGTTAGGTTTAGGGTTAACCATAACCCAGCAGATAACTCTCAAGTATTACTGTAAACTGTTTGTATTGTTGGTACTTGTATTACACCACTGCACTATAACTTTCCTTCCTCCTTTTATAGATCCAAATGTGACCAAGCTGAGCAATGGAACTGTGACCAAGCCTGTAATGTGCTGCAGAGTACCAGGAGGAGATGACCATAGAGAGGAGGGGGTGTGCCGACCGGACAGTAGCTTCAAACAGCTCATATCCTGGGAGCCAAATTCAATCATCTCGGAAAACATCCAGCAGAGGGGCCAATCGCAAGCGGCTGCAGCCCATCTCGAGAGCACATTCTGGGCATGCGTACAGGGAAAGGGTCCTTGCTATTATGCAGAGATGTGTCTGATCACAGTAAAGCTGCAGCCTCACCTTGACCTGTCCATTTGTGAAACAGTGAATCATCCCTGCCATAGAAATACATGGAGGAAATAGAGCCACGTGCGCCAAATCGGATGAGTCATATATTATGGGTGCACGTAAGATGTCGGTGCTAAAGATCAAATAATAGACTATATTTATTTATTGCCTTAAACATGTAAAAAAAAGTTACTCTTCATTTTCCATATTCCTTACTTTAATTATTCAATGTGATAAGTATATAAGCACTTTTCACAACTTTCAGAGACCGAAGCGGAGTTTTGCTGTCATGGTAATGAAAAAAGTTGTTGCTAAGAACAGTTAGAATACTAACAGCACACCAGTGTTACTTCCTGGTTTGTGGAAGTTTTTCTTTTTTCTTTAAAGAAATCAGGTACAGCCCATTTAAAAGATCTATCAAACTGATTCAACCATTAATTTTTTTTCTCATCCATCATAAACTCCAAACTGTGCATTGGTGTGTTATTTTTCACTTTGCATGATTATAGAAAAAAAAATCAAAGCCACAAATTTATAAACAAAAATCAGTTCATAATTTTCTGCCACTGGATTAATTTCGCCTCTGAAGTGAGCTTGCAGTTTTGGTATGTAAGTAAGTAAAATCATTCAGCTGATAGAAAAATATTGCCTGGGATCAGGAATACACAGTTTTGCAATACTTTAGAATGAGACTGGTCACTGCTGAATCTCCCAGAGTTAAGATGAGCATGAGTGACAGGTGGATTAGCCAATCAAGGACTTGCATATACTGTCCACATCAAAACAAATAAGGCTGTTTACAGGGAAAAAATAGAGAGAGGGACTGAAAAATATCACAGATTTCTGCAGAATCAGTGAGCGAAGCACTAAACTTTGTTAATCTGAGGTGAGAGAAATTGGATTTAATTCAAAATAATAGGTAAAAGGAACCATATTTTACAGCTTAAAATGGTTTCATGGATTTTTCAAAACAACATATTTAGCCTCAGGGACAGAGAGCACAAAAATATTTAAACTGGGTAGATAAATGAAAGTATATATTTTCAGATGAATTCCTCATAGTCTACAAAAGCCAGTTGACATTCTGTTCAGAGATGGTCCCCAGCTGCTCCCCAATGCTATTTGTTTATAATGTGTTTTATGGAACCAATGCGTCTCTCCGGTATCCTGCAATATCCTGTGTGTCCTGCCTTCACCTGTCAGTAAACACAGAGCTGTAGCCTGTTCAGTCTCTTCTGTTTTATAGGCTCAATGAGTACATGACACGTTTCACTGGAAACTGTCAACAAAAAAGCAACGTCAACACACAAAGAATAGATGAGTGATTTTTTTTCAGTAATTCTAAAGGTGATGATATTTTTGGAATCAGTTGTGCTAAAATGTGCTTGTCAATGTTTTTGTTGAAGTTCAATCATGCAAAAAAGAATGGGCTGTAACATTGAACAGAAAAGTGCAAAAATATATCACAGTATTACTCTTATTAGAAAGATTAAACTACTTTTAATGAGCTCCTTTTTATATGATATGCGAGATGTTCTAGTTTGGAATTTCTCCAAAATTTGCTTGTTCTGTGGCTACAGAACAAACAACTGTGCTGAGTGGAGAGTGGATAGCTGAGGCTGACTAGTCATGCTTTGATGGTGAGTTGAGTATTTTAAAGGAATTGTATGTAAGATTTTCATTTAAAATTCCATAAACATGTCCTAAATGTGTCCTCAGACACACTGTAAACATGTTCAAATCAAATATAGCTTTTACTGGTAACAGAAAACAGTACAAAAACATTGGACATGATAGCCAATTTGCTTATGTTATTTATGTTACGTTATATTATTTTGTGATCTGGTTCAGAAAGCACAATGAGCCTCACATGAGTCTGTCATTTGTGTTGCCAGTTTCAATGCTGAAATCCAGTTGGTTTGAACCTAAAAGGACTCTCTCCCTTCAGTTCTAGTGCAGCTTCTGCAGCTTAATGAGTGAATTGTGAAGATTCTGAGCTTTCACTTTCAGCTTTCATGAGACGTGGCCTGTCCATATACAGAGAATGAGAAAACGTGTATGTGTCCTGTAGCTTAAAGCACTGGCCTAGTTCTGTTGTGATTGTTGTACCTTTTTAAAACTGCAAGAGCGCTTGATACATATAGTTGCCTTTAGTGTAGAGATGAGACGGTATAAACAAGATATTTATGAATGTAAACACATAAGGCACAGATGACATGCATATGCAGGAGGAAAGACTCTAACCTGTCTTTGGTCCAGCCTCTCTATAGTGGCGTTAGCTCCATAGGCCTGGCACGACTCCACGGTGTAGTCTGAGCTTAGACCCAGCACAGAGCAGGAGTCTCCACATGACCCATCAGCCACCACGATGACCCGCGGCCAGTCTGCGGAGGGGAGGCGACGCACATACTCCTCAGAGAACTGCAGGGTGATAAAACAAAACATTGGACAAGTTACATATTCTGTTTAAGGCCCTTGTCCCTGATTATCACTGTCTTAAAAACAAAGTTATTCATCACTTACCTTGAGACAATATTCTTCATTTACCTTGTGTACCTTGTGTATTGCGAGCATTGTAATTATTCACCACAATGAGATTATAAGCATTTTTTACAACTTTCAGAGACCAGAACAGAGTTTTAACCATCAGTAAAGCTAACAACAATTAGCATGCTAGCAGTGCTTATTCTTGGGCAACACTACAATCGCAGATGCCAACACACAGCATATTTTGACCTCAAGAGCTGCTCATGCATTATGTCTGTGCTGGGGCAAGACAGTTCTTACTCAGGTACTGATACTTACTCAGACACAGGCCCTTTAATATGTAAATCTATCCAAAGTATTTGATTGTTTTGACCATATTTACTGCTAGACCAACTTAAGGACATAGGTGTGGGTGATTCTGCCCACTCTCTATCAAACAGAACCCATGTGTTTTTATGGAAGGGATAAAGTCTGGCTTTATGAACATAGTCAAAGGAGCACCACATGGCTCGATACTGGCTCTGGTTCTGTTTACGATTTTCATTAACAAAATGGGCAGCTTCAGTTTTTTTTCTTCAGCTGATCTTAAAGGACAAAAATATCAGATTTATGACATTCTCTAGAGCTTGTTCTTAAAATGTATTGCACAGTTAAAAAGCTCAAAGTTCTTCTGGGCTTTTATTATAGTCACAAAACCTGAATCCCCCTGCTTGTCGCCATGGAGATCTTATTTCTTTGTCTTGAATGTTTCACAGTGTGGCTTTAAACTCCATGGGGTCTCATCAGGCCAAGTTATAGGTCAGATCTGTGAAGAGGTCACCACACTCAAAATAAGAATGCATGTTTTCAAGGTATTTAGTTGGCATTGACAACACTTGTAGTTGAATATATGCAAGAAATGGAACATTATAGATGTAAGAATAAAGTCTCCATGCAGACAAGCCACTGACGGATCCTCCTTCCAAAACACAGTGCAACTTTAAATTAACTTTTTGGTATTTTAACCTATACTATCAGTAATATGGGAAATAGAAAAATAACATAAAATAATAATGCAATACAATTTGATAACGTTTGAAGAAAGCAATCTTTAATTTAGTTTTTTTGTTTTTGTTTAATTTGCCAATGTTTGCTAATACATGCACCATGGGAACTGCTAAACATTTCACCATATACACGCATTCCATACACCCCCATCATGATGCCACTGCAAAGTTTTATAAATCCTAACATCACTACAACCTCAAAGACACTTCTCTGACAACTCTATTTTTCAAACAGACAGGCTCAAGGTTATGACACGTACAAGCTGTTATATTTTCTCAGCTGATGCTTTGTATGCAGCACACAGCTTCAATAAAACAGACACAGGCAAAAAGGGCAGAGAAGGACACAGGGGAGGAGGAGGAGGAGGAGGTGGTGGGCCACAGAATTACATTTGATTCACTTGGAATTGCTTTGATAATGTGGTGTACTGACTCAACAGTAGTCAAACACTGTACACTACACAGACAGACAAAAACAGACAAACTGCCAACATGTTTCCATCTACAGCAAGTAAACAAAAGAAATTTTAATGAAATGTGAGGGAGATTTTTTTGGAAATTTAAAAAACTAGACAAGTGGATCTATAGAGCTTGGGATCAAATGTCAAAAACTTTACATTCATGTGCTGTTATGATACAAAATGTTCTTCAAAACCTTGGAACTAAGGAATAGACTTGATACTCAATACCGATTCCAATATTACAATGATAATAAAAAAAACACACCTTATTTAGACAACAGAATGTTATTTTCAACATTAAATTGTAGTATCTTCTTGTTCTGATAAAGCTGCTCAGGAAAGGTTCATTTATGTCTGGTGAATGTGACTTTCTTATTATCGATACCAGCTCAAGTGAGTAAATCATTTCAATACTAGTTTTAATTTAGCATCTGTTTTTCAATACTTTTGATAACTCTGTATTAATGACAGATGTGCAAAACACTAAATGAAGATACATGACCACAATACTAGAAAAGTAAACAACAGAACCATGAAACAGCTCAAATAAATCCTATGTTTAGTATTTAGCATCTTAAAATCTCTTTTGTTTTAACATTATGCTAACAAAAAGTCCCATGATGTGTGGTGATACATTCCTGAGTTCTAATGTTGCCTTGATGTTTTGATTTATTCATGCATGGCTGAGTAACCCTGCATATTCTGTCCCTCTTCTTCCCAGGAGATCAAAACTCTGTTCTGACTAGTGCTGGTATTTCCCTGTAGTGAGCAACAGCTTTATTACTGTTTTTGTAAAGTGGCATACACAACATATTTGAAACCAGTGGGTGGGGATAGGTTAAGACAATACAGAATTACATAAAGGTGCTCTACCTGATTGAAAAACATGAAAAACAGACAACTAGCATGCTAATGTGCACTTCCTGAAGATCTGGCAATAAACTATTTTATAATACACAGTGCACAGTGGACTTATTTTAACCTTAAGGACTGCTTATACAATATATTGGGGCAAGACGATTTTTGTACATGGGAAAAAATCATGACATCAAACATGAAACTTGCATGAATCAATTAAAAACAACTCTGAGGAGGTTTATCATGAGAGAAAACTATTATAACATTAAAAACCCATTCAAGTAGATCTGATATTGTCTCTTTTATAGTATCTTTGTGTGTTTGTGGTCTTATGACATAATCTCTTCTTTCTCCTCAGACAGTGACAGGACACAGGGCACCCAGGGCTTTGTCTGAGCTCCTGGATCAGGTGTAAATGTGTAAAGTGATCCCTCGCCATTATATCACATCACATTATCAAGTCTGTGGATAAACTGGGACAGACACAAAGCATGACTGCATAACTCTCCCTCTGTGTCATCAGTCAGACTGTTTATAGGAGTTAAGGCAAGACACTGCAGGCTAAAGCCATTTTTCATATTTTGTTTTTTTGAAGTCAGTTTGCTTTCTATATACAGAAGAAACAGTTTTTAAAGATGGGGTGTTACACTATGGGGCATTTATTGCTGACATATTAAATATTTAAATCTCCATGCTAGCCTTTATTGTTTTAAAACAGCTATATTTATTGAAAACAACATATTAACATGATTATTAAGTTTCATTTTTGTTTTTGATGCTCAGAAGAGAACACAATCAGCATGCAGTCCCCTAATGAAACTATTGCACATTATATCAGGTTTGTGAAGTTGTACTGTATTTTTTGTATCATGCTTTTGTATATCCATGGAAAATTGTTGTGTGAGAGATGAGTGACAAAGGCTGAGCATTGGAGGATCATACTGCTAAGGATTGGGGGATTTCTCCAACCTGCGCGGATTACATGTAAACCTCTTTCATGAGGGAACAATGTCATAACATGGTATACAAAATGTTGCTTTTGCATAATAGCCACTCTCATTTTTGGAGTCTCTTCTCTCAAAATACCAGGTCTGTGCATTTTATTGTCCTTGAGCTTCTGTAAACTTTAAATTATAAACCACATGTCACTACATTGTTACCACTTCATATTCTAGACCAGGGGTCTCCAGTCTTTTTTCTCCAGTGAGCTGCCTTTATGAAACAAAAATGCCAGAGAGTTACTAATTTCAGTGGTTACAAAGAAACTGAGTAAATATAAGAGCCACTGCAAGCCTTAGATGGCAAAAAGTTAGATGCCTATAAAACATAAACTATTGTCCATTTATCAGTGCACCAAGTTAGGCATCAAAATTATACATTTACAATAGCAATTAATCAACTTTTACTATTATCCACAATACACAGAATTCAGAAATCCCTTGGCGAGCTCCTTGGAAGGAGGTGGTAGCTCCCTCTCTTACTTTTTTGGATCACTTCTTACATCTACTTGAGTAATAGTAAACATTTTTGAAGTAACTTACTTGAGAACAATCTCTCTGCTATTCCAACCTCAAAATAACAGATATTTTCTTATATATTCACTTGATAGTATTCATATTCCATCTATGTGCTAATATGTACATTTGAGACACATTTTCCCTGATAACAAAGTCTTTTATAAACTCCTCTCCTCTGTGATATGAGACCTGCACAGAGCAGAGCCCAACAGACTCTCCTCTGACCCTGTCACTAAGGAGGGATCAGGTTTGATGAAGTGTGTTTTTCTTCTTTCCCAAAGGTCAAAACATAAAAATATAAACTAGGGCACCTTTTACATAATCTGGGATACAGCTCCAGTCCCAGAGGTTTCATATTGTTTCCAGCCAAGACAAATTACTTGTAGTGGGAATATTCCTTTTGTTTCTAGTTTAGGGGTATTTATTTACCTTGCAGGTCTATCTAGCTCAGTTATGTGCACTCCACAGGTAGATCATTTGGCAACAAATAAGAACAAATATAGGCCAGTACTGAAAAGGAATGGCAAATGGCTCTGGCCAGCTCTGACGAGTGCACAGTATCACTTAGTCTTTTGGCAAGACAATTCACCCACAAGTGTCGATGATATTAATGGTATTTAAAGCTGCATTATGTAACTTTTTGAGTGGAAAATCTGACACCTGCTTGTCTCCACAAAGGCATTGTTTCTTTGCTTGGAAGGTTAGGTATTCACATTATAGTATTAGACAGGAGAGGCCTAGTTACAGAATACAATCGACATGTATTTTCAAAACACACATATAAAACGATATACATTCTACTGGAAAGTTAAGATTAATGCCATAATAAGGAACATTGTATGCTAACCCACGAAATAACCATGGGGACAAGAAGGTTTTTGACCCTCCCCCAGAAAAGTCATTCTACATTATTAATTTATCAAGTAGGCTAATAACTTCACTTTAGATGGAATAGTGAATTTGACAGCTGACTCATGCTAATGGCCTAAAATGGAAAATGTCTCATGAGTAGGTAAATTTTGTTAGAGATTTGCTCGGTGACTGTACCTTGGTCCCGAGCTGCACCTTTACGTCCACCTTATGCTTCCTCTGCTCCAGGATGCTCAGCAGGTACTCCTGAAACACCCCTATTCGGGTGAAGAAGTGTTCGTTGTGCCAACAGCCCTCCATGTTATCGAAGTCCACCCCAAGCCCGAGCAGGAACCTCACGCTGCGGGGGTCCAGGGCGATCTGCTGGGGCCGGCACAGCAGCGAGCTCCGGTACCTCTCATCCAGCACCGTCAGCTTCAGCACCTTCCCCGAGCGGACAGCGACCAGGGCAGCGGTGAGCCCCACGGGTCCCGAGCCCACGATCAGCACCGACACGCGTGCTCGCCACTGCCGGATGCCGTCCAGACTCACTTTGACCACCACGTATACGAGCACCGCCGCCAGAGTGCTCAGAGCCGTGTCCAAAGCGAGAGCGCGGTACTTCTCCTCCTCCTCCTCGATGTCCAGTCCGGGGCGATCGGCTTGTAGACCCTCCATGACCGTGGTCCGTCTCCAACATGTGTCCGTATGTGGCGAGGTCGTGCGTATTTTGGCACAGTCGGAGTTGGTGTTATTTACGCACAAGATGAGCCATGCTTGGTGTTGTCTCCGAGTCCTCGCACACAGTAACTTGGGTCAAATCGTCGCTCACTCTGTCTGAGGAGAGTGTCCACTGTCCACTGAGCAGAGGGACTGGAGTGGGCGTGGCACAAGATGTTTTAGTCTTTTTTTTATTTATTTTTTTAAGTCTCGTGTAATTTAATAGCCTATTCATTTCAGCATACTGAAATAACCGCTTCCCACATTAAGAATTTATAACACAGACATTTTTGAAAGTTATGTCATATTTCATTTTTTATGAGAAATAATAGCATGTTAAGAACTTCACATTGTTGAGTTGGTATTAATATCAGGTTGAAATAATTCGATATCAAACAATAAATAAACACAGAGATGTAGTTAAGTTTATTGAGAAGATGGTGGTTATAAGAAGACGGACAGGCTGGGGAGGCTGAGGGTTCTGTTGCTTCATTGTAGGGTAAGGATGATGACTATAGATAGCTAGAGAGGGAGCTGGCTGTGATTGGTTGACAGTGATAGGCATGTTCAGTTCAATTCAGCGTAACAGGCTGACAACAAGTGTCTCAAATGGATTCAAGCAGGTAAACAGTGTTCCCCAAGAGAGACAAAAAGAAGGATGCCCCCCCTTCTGTGGGATGCAAATCACGAGAATAACAATAATTGGATTTATATAGCGCCTTTCATAACTCCCAAACACCACTTTACAGTGCATTATTAATTTAATCCAGCCATCAAGTAATGTGGATGAAGTGTCTTGCCTAAGGACCCAACAAAAGTGTTAGAGCTAGAGCCACTGCTGGCCTACTGTGGCACATAGTATTCCCAGTGGTCTCTCATCCAAGAACTAAACAGGCCTGGCCTTGCTTAGTTTCTGAAATCTGATGAGATTGAGCTTTGACAAGGAGATATGGCCTCAACCTAAAGAGTCCAAATGACAGTTTATGCAAGACCATAAAAATGTTTACAAGTAACATATATTCTTTTCAGCTTAACCCGTGAAGTACATTTTGAGTGATATTTGCAAAGTAATTTATCTACAGAAATGTATGTGTGTAAAATATGACTACTTCAACTTGAGTGATTCTTACAAAACTCCCTCCGTTCTCACTACCATCTCTTTATGTATTTAAAGCTGTGCTCCTGTGGCTGACTCTCCATCCTCTGTATGTCAGTCCTCTTTGCACTGAGCACTGAGCTGTATTGATGCTTTTGTCCTGTCTGCTCCCTCGTCTTTCAACTGAAGAAGCCGTTGCCATGCCGCTCTCCATAGAGATGTGCATCTGTACAGCGACATGTACGTGACAGATGTGCCTCACACTGCCCAAAATGGAGCTGTGTAATGTTTGGAAGAAAATGTGAGCTATTTATCTCTTTGGTGGATTGTCCTCTACTTGGTGGCTGAGCAGCATGAAGGTTCGAAGTTCAATTCGTGGGTCACTCAGACCTTTCTGTGTGGAGTTTGCATGGTCTCCCTTTGTCCAGCTAAGCTAGTCCTAACCAAACATAGCTCAAAATCTGAAAATCTGTACTCCATTGAAATGCTATTGCTCTGTATAGTGTTCCACAATGTAGCATTAAAAAGATCTATCTCCATGGAGACAATCAGGTGGCAGACATCCCCACCAGAAAAATCACATTGATCAGTCTTTGTCGACAACAACAAATACAATGGTATCTTCATTACAGAGTGTTATGCATAATATGCAAATGAATAATTAGCTAATGTGATCGCTAATGAATACTTAGCAAACATAACATGCACACTGATTCAATGTGTAGAAACAGAAACACTTAAAACAGAGTCTGATTTTTATTATGAGAATCATCAGAATGATGCATATTGCATGTAGCAGTTGCATAGTGTAATATCAATTAGTAGTAACAATATACAGTATATTGGTAGAAGTATTTTGGATTGTAAATAGCTGGTATTTCAGTGTTCACTTGAACCAACTTCCTTTCCATTCTGTGTATTGCTAATAGACTCACTGCCCTCAGCTTTTTAACCAGTGCTTTGACCTTTACGTTCCAGTTAGGCTCCAGTATAAATGAAGAGCTTGGAAGGAGGAGCTGATCAATTTAGCAAAGTGGACTGTCACATGAGACAACTGCCCAGGCTGCAGAGAGTGGACCGGGCAGGACAATAATGACCACACACAGAGATATATGGTGAGGAAAGTATAATGCATGTATAGGCTAAAGTAATGAGCACATTTTCCATGACTACACAGCAGGTGCCTGGCAACGTCAAAGCACTGCCCATCCACATAGCCTGAGCAGAATCAATGAGAGTGTTACAATAGGTGTGCATAGGAGCAGCAATAAGACATGGTGAAGCCTTCAATGGATAGTGGACTATTTAAAGAGGCGGTATTGTGCAACCACCATGTTAAAATATTGTTCCCTCATCAAAAACTTGAATAAAGATGTTTTAGATGTCATCCACGTTTAAGTAATCTAGCGATCTCTCAGGCACTATTCGAATCCTCCTTGTGGATAGGAGTACGGTCTTGTCTATTGCTCCACCCTCAAGCCTACGCCACCCATGCTCCCACACGACAATTTTCCATAAATAAACAAGAGCAGGATACAAAACAATACAAGGTAACATGGTGATCTCAATATCTAATGTGTTAGCAATTAATAATAATAAACCCCTCTTTAAATAACAACTGACAATGGAGTTCTAATGGTATGCTAAATTATTATTATTATTATTTGTGCTTTTAATTGTGGCATATGATTTCCTCCCTAATTACATTAAACTGACTCATGAGTGTTTGACCATGTTATAATGTTGTTCCCCCATCATTATTTAGCTGCAACAATACTTAAGCTAATTTTTCATTGATTCGTGCATGTGTAAGTAATGCTTCATTATTCTCCAAGGAGATTATATTGTAGTGTAATTACTTGTGACTATAAAAATCACACTCAAGGTCATATATGTAGGGTTCAGAATTGTCACATAGACATTTTTCAACAGTAAAAACACATAAATAAAACTCAGCTACTTCCTATGAAATGCCAAGAGGCAGGTCCAGATATGGCAGCCCTCCAAGAATCCAATCTCACTTGACATATTTCTGTTTAGCAGGGGAGGGCAGTAGTGGCTGCATGGCAAGAAGCACAGCAAGAAGGTTCCAAGTTTGATCCTCAGGCTTTTGTTTGCAGAGTTTGCATGTTCTCTCTGTGTCTGGGTGGTTTTCCTCTGGCATCATCATCATCATCATCATCAACCTAAAACATGTACCATAGGTTATATCCTCCATCTAAGGTAGTCCTGACCAAGACCAGCTCAAGATCTGGAAATGGGTCCCTGGGCACTGCAATGTGGTGCCCACTGCTTTTGACTGCTTTTTTGCCTCATTGAAAGATGGGTCAAATGCAGCAGAGGACAAATTTTCCTTCAAGGACAACAAAGTGTGTCCTAAACGAGAAACAAACCAAAAACTAAAAGTCTAGATTTTCTATAGTATGAAATTTACTATTATTAATGTTTCTGAAGGTACATGCTCACAATCAGATATGCATGTTGCTAACAAAGTGACAAGAGGTCTCAATCAATATTAATAGAAAGAAATCCGTTGAAGCCTTGATTCATTTTCATCTGATCAAGTCTTTCTGAGATTCATTCCTGTTAAAAATGACTCAGTGATCAACACCTCTGCTTTGATTTGCGTTTTGCTATGGTAATGTATGCATCTGCAGAGAACCCACACCAGTACTGCAGTGATGGTGCTAATGACACAGGGAGGATGTGGCCCACGTCCTGCAGACAGAGCCGAGGCTGGAACAATAGACTGTGAGGTCCTTTCAGTGCAGGGTGAGTCAGGGAGAAACATGGAGCTCATTATGGGTACATTTAAAGCTAGTATACTGTGCTAAATCAACTGCACGGATTCAGCTGTTTCTGATCTGATACTGATACTGCTTTGTGCATATGCCATAACCCGATATAAACCTAAACTAAACCCCAAATCCCATGTCTATTTCATTTAGATCCATGGAGAGAAGCAGGTGGTGTTGTCAGGTCAAATTACAGGTCAGATCTGTGGATGCAATGTTAGAGAAATAAAAGTACCTGTAATTCAAAAGAAAAGGCAGATTGATACATGTTTAATGCCATACTGTGCAACATTCATAGACTACATACATAAACAGAGATAACTAACCCATTGGCCACTGTGTTCCACTTGAGGTTCAAGTCTCTCCCTCTCTGTGTAACTGCTGCTGCTGTGAGCTTTGTCATTTTGGTCTTAAAATATTCCTAATAACCCACTCTGTATGATCCTGGTGTTTTTATTTTGGCATGTTGTCCTATTCTTAGTATGGAGGACGGAGTCTCTAAATTTGCCCATTACCGCCAACATTGTGAGCTTCATTTGACTGAAGCTGAACACTATGGGTGACGTCACACTCCCTCACACTCCCCTAGTCCCCTTCTTTACACAGTCTGTAGGAACATTCCAGGAAACGCATTTCCGTGGAGGCAATCAGAGCAGTTTAACACATTTAAGAGCAAGAGCACCTTTAAGTACTTAATGTAAGTAGTCTGAATACAATTATTAGATTGGCCAAAAATTGAACCAAGTCATGAGTTTCAGTTTACAGACTAAACACCATCATGACTATTTTTGTTCAGTACCATTTAAACACAACCTATAGAATATTCAGTCTTGAATTGTTAATTGCTATGGTAACAGTGCAACATAATTTCATTGCAGATACAGAACGCAGCCTAACAACATTAAAGCTGGAGCAGATGTTTTCAGCTTGATAAAAACTACTTCACTCATTTGTTCTGCTTGTCACACATTTAAATTATTTCATTTTTTGCTGTAAACTGTAAGAAATCCTTGAGGTGTTCTCCAGACTCATTATACTACAAGAGACCATATCAAGGCTGAGATGTCCAAAAGATGAAATTTAAAAAAAAATCTGAATATTGCATGGTAGTGACAGGAAAATGAATCATCATAAGTCTTATTGAGCAGTGTTAGGTATAGGCTGGAATAAAACATACCAGGGAGATTTTAAGGTCAGTCATTTCGTCAGTGCTGAGTAAACCTGAGACAAATTGTTCAGTTAGGCAAAGCTCCAGCCCAGATAAGAGAGCTCATGGAAATATGTGGAAAAAGTACAAATATTTAACCCTGATCTCAAGACTCCACGTCACAACTCTTCAGCCAGGGCAGAGCAGTGCATGGTCTTTTTTTTTCACTCTCATAAATACTTTTAATGTAACAATGTTTGGAAATACCATGTCATAAAAGGTTCCATATTATGCAGTTATTTTGATTTTTAATAATAATTACTGGATGTGTTTTGTCTTGACATTGATATATCATATAGTGGCCCCTGTTAGGTGAGTATGTCTGGAAAACAAAAGCTACTCGTGCTAGATTTTTCACAAAAAACACAGTCTGGGCAAAATCTCAAGGGTGTACTAGTATGTATCAAATTTTACAAAGTTGAAATTTGGATTTTAAATCATGAATATATCAATTATAATAGTAAGAACTGACAATATACTATTACAACAATATACTTCATCTACTAATTAGTATACTATTTGCCTAGTACTCAAGTTACTCATTGTGAGGCAAAAACCCTACACCAATCCTAAAAAATTAATTAAATAAATTATATGCCTCAAAATGATATTATGTCTATATGCAGTAAGCCTATGGTTCAATTCCCAAGGCAACATACAATACTAGAGAAGAAATTTGAGCTATTCTACACACTTCTGCTGTGTTAGAGGATTCACAAAATGTTTCCAGAATGTAGTGACGTAGTTGTTGAGGGGTGAATGCCTGAGACTGTGACGTTTGGAATGCCCTGTGAACACATGGAACAGCCCCCATCTCCATGGTAACACAGGGTAAAAAGGCCAGAGAGTGACGCGGGCTGGACCTTATCACCTTGGCAGCTCAGTGCGAGGCTCCCATCACCGCATGTTACTCAGAGGAGAGGGGGTTACTTACTACTCTATTATTCAATAGGTTGGGTTCATTTAATGAAAAGTGGAAAGGTCATAAATTTATATATATCAAAATATCGGTTATGGGTTACTGGGTCAATTTAAAACGGGCTAAAAATTCTTCTCTAACAGCAAAAATGGGAGCAAACTGGCTGGACAAAACAAGGATGAAACCAGGTCATGTGTTCTTGCTGTAAGTAGTGAATGTACATCTCCACAAACCTGACTTTTATTTGGCCAGGAGGAGGGCCTCCTCTTGCTTGTTCCCATGGAAATATCGTTCCTTTGGATGTAATATTTGACAGTTTGACATAAAGGATTTCTATGTCCATAAAAAATGTGCTGGAGTATGGTTTTAATGTTATATTTCCATGAAGTCATGCAGCTGACTTTCCACCCGCAGAAAGTTACATACTTTAATCACAAAGATGGTATATCAAACGGCATATCAAGTTTAATATGGCAAATTAGTCAATCCCAATTTATTTGTTAAACATTTCTTGATTTTCTGTTTTGTTAGTTTTGATTAACTGATTAGGTTAACCCTCACATGATAATCTTGGATGAGCTTCTATCAAGGATACACAATATATCTATTCAACTGCACAACTGTAACTTCATCTATGATTTGTCACTATAAGGTGTTTGACATGTGGATTTTATATTTGGCCATTTTGAATTAAAAATAAAACTAAATTAAATTAAATGGATAAAGAAGCAGTTTCTACAGCTGAGCTGAGTGACGTCAGGATCACATTCAAGGTTCTGAAAACAATCAATAACTATTTCCAGACTGGCAGCTAAATATAGTTCTATTCAACAACCCAGCTATCTATGAAGAGACTTTACCACTACCAAAATGATATGACAGAAGCAAAACTACACAATACAGTTTATTATCTTACAAAGAGATAGACAATGAGCCTTAAACGAGTGTAATAAAACTTACACATGCAAATAAAAATATTAACTGTACAATTTGTCTTAGCAGTATCTTTTATGCTAATAAAAGAAGTAACAAATGTTGAAAGTTGAAAGCCTAACAAAAGGTAGGCCAGCGTTGTCACTGTAAAGACAAAATAATAGCTGACAGAAACATTTAAATTGTGGTATTTTTCCAAATTCCAAATCAATTAAACTGCGAAACTGGCACTAGCTAGTTTCCCTTGTACACTGCGCTTCACATGGTACAAGATTGCTCTTACAACTTCTGCTTTATTAATTTCATTTAAAAGTGAAAGTTACAAAGCATTGTACTCCACACATTTGGATGGGTCTGTTGGGAAGTGTTTCTGGCAGATGGTCATAAGTCTCTTTAGCCCCTGTGGAAAGATAAAACATGTCATCATTGAATAGAAAGATCAGAAAAGACAGTTAAAAATGCATCATTGTATATGTGAGATAATGACAACAAGAATATTGTGACATTGTTATAAAAACAAATTTTTGATGAAATCATATTACCATTGGAAATGTGTAAAAACATGACAATTTCTGTAGTCCACTTTCAGTGTTGGGTGTAATCCGTTACAAAGTAATGCAACTACTTTTTGGGGGGTAAAAATAGTGTAACGCGCTACTACACCTCAAGCCTTTCTTGACCAACCCAGAGCTAGTCGTGGAGCACCGCCTTGAAGAAAGCAGGGCTCAGCGACATGCGGAGAGAGGTCCCTTGACTATGTAAACTGCACGGATCCCATCCATTTACCTCTTAGCGTTTTCACGTCCTCTTGAACTTTCTGTTCACAGTTCTTTTAAACTTTCCTTTACGATACTTGTTGACTATCAGTCTTGTGCCGGTATTTAGCCTTACATGGAGTTTACAGTCAAAAAGTAACGAGTCACATAAAAAGTTACTTTCCATAGAGGGTAACTAAGTTAAGTAAGGGATTACTTTTAAAAGAAGTAACGAGTAATGGGAAAACATCAAATCGTTCGATACTGGTCTCACAATTCGATACACATGTTCGGTCGATATGCACGTGTCCCTCCATGCCAGCTGAGTTGCCATTTATTATGGTCTGAAAGGGAAACTGTTATCGTGACGTCCTCCTCACATACAGCAACAACTCCATAGGGACTACAGCTAAAATATTCTAACAGAGGTTGATTTTATCTTTCTGTCACTTTTTAAGTTGATAAACTCAGGAATGACAAAGATATTAACTTTTAAATACTTTAAAATAGCTTTTGGCTTTACATCGACTTTAATCATCTGAGCTCGTATACACACCCGTGAGTGACTCTTTATCTCAGACTCTATTTCCTAAGTTTTGATCAGAAAACGGTCCATTGATACATTTCTATGTAACATAACATAGTTTTAGTGTTCAGAAAGAGGATGGGAAAGCACTGTGTGTCTGTTAAGAGCACAGACTGTAGCAGGGCAGTGTGGGAGGAGCTACGTACTGTCTCTGCTGGAGGAGGCAGAACAGCGCGGGGACAGGCATGTGAACTCAGTGAGAGGACTCATCAATTCATGATCAAAAAAGGAGAAGTCTGAGAGTTTAATTCCCCTAGCAGTCTATATTAATCGTAGGCTGGCTTATTTTCACAGAGTAAAAATTCCGTTTTGTAAATCATTGAACCGAATGAGCTAAAATACTTCACATATAAACTACAACTGTACAGTTGTGGTACTGTATGTAATGTATGTACTGTTTCATTATAACATCATAGTGTTATTATATTATACTCAATAGCAGAAAAAATTACATGAGAGTTTTTTTGCATCTTAACATGTATCAAAATCGAATTGATATCGTATCGTGTATCGAGATACATATTGAATCGTGGAAAAAATATATCATTGCATCCCCAGTAACGCGTACAGGCTCTTAGGTTTAATCCGTTGTACAAGCTCATTTCAAATTTTAAAGACGGATTACTTTGGAAATATTGGTGCTATCAAAAAGAAATTACTGTAATGATCCTGACACCCTGCTTTCAATGCCTGATGTCAACCACTAAACAATTAACCAACAGTAGATTTAGCAGCACCTGTATGTATTTCCTCTGGGTTTCGTCGTTCAGAACATGTGCCACGTGCTTGGAGAAGATCTTCTCTCTTCCTGTACGAGCGTGGATGCCCACCATGGTCACTCCAATAGGCCAGGGTGCATTTCCAATGGCCATCTGAAGGTATGCATCATTGGCCTATTCAAAAACACCAATTTTAAACTTTTAAAAAGTACACTCGATACATTTTGTTATGATATGACCTCAATTGCAATGAATTCAATTACTTACTTTGACATATTCTCTTTCCAACATGAATTTGATGATATCTGTGATGGATTCTTTGATGTCTGCTGGTAAACTCTATGAGAAAAAAGAACATGGTGAATATTATAAATTGTAACAAGACTGTGTAATCTTTTATTCGTCCAGGAGTGGTTTACAATCCCTCTCCATGTTTTGGCAAACATCTATTTAAATGTGGATATCTGAAAGCAGTTATTTGATATCAATTCATTTCCACGAGTGTCGCTTTCCCCCCCATGTCTCAGACTTTGTAGAGAGCACATGCCAAGGTGGTGCAGAAATAAGCAAAGAAGTGCCCAGTAGGAGTTTTATAAATCATGTGTGTGATGCATAATGCGTAAGCAATCTTGATAAATGAGGCCTCTGGACCCTGTTTTTGCAATCAAGTTATGAGTAGTTTTGCAGCATTTGTCCCTTCCTCACCTTCTTGCGTAGCTTCCTAAACAGAGGCTTGAGGTATGACTCAGTCTGGGAGTGAGTGGCACTGGCCAGTTTCCCTTGTACACTGCGCTTCACATGGTCCTCTCGGCTGTTTAGGTCTTTGGCCCAAACGCCCAGCAAGAACTGAAAGACAACAACAGCATGAATAGTAATCATTAGAATAGTTTCTAAATAGTTTTGGTGACATAACTGTCCGATTACTCTATTTGAACGTTCTTAATACTAATAAATGTAACTTCCATCAATATATCTATCTGTAGTGTATATTACATTTTAATATGATATGATATGATATGACATGACATGACTGATTAAAATCACTTACTCTCAAAAACTTGTCGATGACATCCTGGTCTCCATGGTCATCTCCTCTGCCCAGAGTTTTGCCAAGAGCCTTGCATAAAATAATGTATTCATAAAATACGAGATATTATGAGACGATATTCTCATATATTTAGTACAGGTTACAGGTTCGGTATCCGTGTACATTGCTGAAGTTCACAAATGTAAAAAGATCAATTCACTTAGCAATTTATCATTATCAGTCTTAATTCACTTCCTTTTTATCAACAGTGCCACCTACTGTCTTTTTGACAAAATACATAATAATAGAAACTAACAGGAAGCGTGGCATTGTTCTGGACTAAAGTTAAAGTGTGCGCAGTTGTATTATTTTGAATATTCTTTGCCTTACCACAAGTTCTTCTATAGTGGTGTTTTCTTCATGCACTTTGAGGTCATGTTGTGTGTCTAGCTCTCCGCCTTCTGTTCCTCCAACAATCTCATTCAAGTACTGCTGGTCAATTTTGTCCATGGCAGCCTTCAGGTCGTTCCTCAAACCCTGGACACAGATCCACTTTCCATTATGACAATCGCAATGGATAAAAATTCTCAAGAAAAAGTCAAGGCCAGAGGGCATGGTAAGGCTGCACAATTTAGTAAAAACTAATAACAAAACAAGTATTATGATTTGATTACAGTATTTTCCGAGCTATTAGACGCGTTCTTGAGTCTCCAACCACATAAAAAAACGACTACGCGCCCCGCAATCCAGAGAGCCCTATACACGAATCCACTCGAGTGTCCCAGCATGACTTCAGTAAACTACAAACCGCACCACCCGCAGTGCAAGCAAACACGCACGGAGCAGACAGCGACCGCGCAGCAAAAAAAACACCCGCAGCCACACTCATCAGTCTGCGCGGACAAGGAATGGAACGGAGGAACGAACCGAAAAAACGAGTGCAATGTGCCACTCTGAGCCACAACTGAACAACTGAGTCACTGCGAACACGCCAACAATCCAGCGGTCCCAGACAGCACCCTCCCTACGCGCCACAATTGAACAAAGCCGAAAGTCACTGTGAATGCGCCAAACAAAATCCGACTGACCCATCTAACTGTTGTGTTTTGTTTAAAGTCCGGTGCGGTTTATTTGTGAAAAAGTTTAAAAATAGACCATTTAATGACAGTGCGTCTTATAATCCAGAGCACCTAATAGCCCAAAAAATACGGTACTATTGATTACTACTGAACTGATTATGTTTAAAAAGTACGATTCTGTTCAGAGTGCACATTGTAAAAAACTCTGACATGACACTGACGCTGAAGTGAACTGCTAAATTGAATCAAAAATCCCATGCATTTCAGAACATTTTTGTAGAGGTCTAAAATATACGAAAAACAAGATTTATTTTCTTTGAAAGACCATCTCAAATGGCATATTTTTCTTATTATTTTTTCTGTCTGGACATACTTTGTTTACTTCAGGGGTTAGAATCTCTATCTTCCTGAGTCTTTGAAAAGCGTCATAGTCTGACTCCCCAAACAGCCGGATGGGCTCCCCTCGTTCTCTCAGCCTCCTGATGACCTACAAACATAGGAGCAGCATTTATGTGAGCAGGCAGCATTCAATTTTAGTTTTATTTTATTATGTTTGTTGGTCTCCACACACCTCCTGTCTGGACAGCGTCATAGGCAGCTTCTCCTCAGTTAGCTCCAACTCCAACACTGGATTCTTGTTTGAAGAGGATGGTTCTTCTTCATCGCCACTGTCCACCTAAAACAGAAAAGAGGCACTTATTATCATTTCTGAATATGTAAAGGCTTTTTAAAATCCCAAAACAAAGTCACTACATATTCAAAATAAAAACTGAGGGTTGTAATCCAAAAACTAAAGCATGCTTAGTTACATTTTGTGTTAAATTGGTGTATTACATAAGATCAGATGTCCTCCTGAGTGTTTTCCACTTGTAAAACTCAAAAAACAAACATACTAGAACTACTATAGTACAGAACTCACTCATGCTTCAAAAGGCCCATGCACAATGCAGTCAGAAAGTGTCACTTATATTCAAGTTGAATGAGACATAATTAATAATAATAAATAAAAGCAATTCTTAATAACATATTTAACTTAGTTTGTACTATTATACTGAGAACACACGAGGCAAAACACAGAAAAAAAAAATCTCATCAGTACTGGCACATCCTTTTTATATCACCAAGTAGTCCATAGGAAAGCCAGGTTTAGTTCAATAAAGCATGGGATGGAATGCATAAAAGTCACAACTTTGACAAAATTGCCTTTTTTTCTGGGGAATTGTGATAAGATTTGTGATTTGTTTTAATAACAGGATTCTGTTCAAATTTCACATTTAAAACATATCCAGAAGAATTGACAAAAAGAATGAAATATGAACTAACAAACTAATATAAGAATCACACGTCAGAACATGTTTGCACACATCTAAACTAGAAGGTTAGCATTTTTTTAAGCAAATAAGAGAGAATATTGGGTTGTTTGGGGAGGAAATGATGATACTTCAAAAAATTGCAGCTTTTATGATTTGCTAATTGTATCCATTAAATTTTTTCTTGCAGCCCTAATCCCAAGATTTATTGTAGAAAATAATAAAGAAAAAAGCATGTGCCCTGAGGGTCTACTGCAAAAAGAATGCTGTTGTTTGTGTCCCTTAGGGAAAGGAGGGAATAGTTTGAATACACTTCAGGCTTCAGTCTCTGCTCATGCATCTCGACAGTGGTACTGCACAGTGGAAGCCCTACCTGTCTCTCGGGAGTCTCGCCCTGAACCTACAGAAGGAGGGCGGCCGTGGAGCAGACAGGACAAACAGCACAGTAAAACCAATACAATACTGTTCAGTATCTTTAGGTATTTGGAGTTAATATTTTATCTTCCATCTGCAGCACACAATAATGACAGCAATAATACACTAAAAATAAAATGCATACCTTGAATCCACAGCGTCTGAAATAATCCTCCTGCTCCTTCTTTGCCAGATCAGACCTTTTGAAGTATTTTTTGGAGTCCTATACATCCATGCACAATAGTTTTATTAGGATTATTCACATTACATTATGACATGTATTTGATTATTGTTGCTTTCTGATTAGATAACAGTCTTGAGAAACAAAACACCAAGTAATAACATAAACAATGTCCAAAATTTTTTTTGTCTGTTTGTTTTTTATAATTAAGAATAAATCAGCATTGCAACTATTACTACTATAGCTGTTTGATTTAAACACATTTACCACGTAGGCTATCTGTATCTGTATTCACCATGGATCTATATGGTGTTCACAGCCAGGTCATGTTTATGAATCTCTTGGGTTCCTTTTACTTTTGTCTGCCTACATCAATAGTTTCACAAAAATGCTGAGAAATAATCAAAGTAAGATTATATACGTAAACTTGGGTAGGTTGTAAACCCACAATCTTGTCTAGCTTAGTTTAACCCATAGGTGTAACCTAACGGGGTCTGACATAAACAATACTTTTCTACGTCTTACATCAACCAGATTCTTTTCTTCAAGAAGTTTCCTCTTTCGAGCGATCTCTGCTTTCAGTATATCCATTTTAAGCGCCTTAAAATCACTACAATACTTGAATTCTGTACAGATGTGAGGGACTTGAGCTAACTCTCTGTGAAGCTAACAAGCTAATGTTACCGGAAATACGCTCTGTCTTCTTCGTCTGTGACTGTCGGACTGCAAACCAGCGTCAAAGGGTCACTGTCGCCACCTCCCGTAAGCTGTCGGATCGTGTAATGTTATACACTGATAACATGTTTTTATCCCGTGAAGTGTATTTTAAACAAAACATTACACTGGATTAAATTTAGGCGTGAGGTTATTTTGAAAGCTAACACAATAAAAGCACTATGGGTTTCAAAAGCCTATAGACATATTATTTATTCCCTTTTATTATTATATTTAAACTGTTTTAGTGTGTGATGAAATGTGGAAATGTGAGCTACATGAACACCTGAATTTCCCCTATGGGGATCAGTAAAGTATTTATCTAACTATCTATCTCTATCTATAAGAAAACGAAAATCATTGTAGATTTGAGGTTAGAAAGCCAGGCCTAAATGACCTAACTTGGTTTTCTCCTCGCCATGGATTCTACCTGGACGACTGAGAGATTCTTCACACTAACTTGGTTTTATGAATTCCCATTTCTAGGTTTTATTCCCCATTGGCCTAAAGGTTTTAAAGTTTATAAAAGAGTTGCATTAGCCGAGCATAAACATGGACTAACCAAAACTTACAGCATAAGCTTTGATAGCACCATCAGAGGGGGTGGACATCGGCGCTAAGAGATTTTATTAAGGACATTTGAATTAACACTCAGCTGCAGCAGAATATACAGGCTAATATACCCTACTTTATACCTTACTTTACATATTGAGAAAAAGTCATTGCATCACATGCCACGTGAGCCAACACTGATGTTGCGCTCTTTGTTTTAATTATAACGGGAGCGAGCTAAGCGCAGCCCGTGGACAAATGAGCTTATAATAAGCGCTGGTCACTGACTGGGTCTGTGTCGCCGCTGGACGTGTCTGGGGAGCACCGCTGCTGCACATTTTAACTATAACCCATTCTAACATATGTGTGAAGATGGAGTTTGGAGAGAGGAAGAGGAGCAGGAAGTCTCAGAGCTTTAAACTGCTCTCGGCTGAAGGTAGGCGCTCCTGCGGACGTGAGTGAGACCAGGAGACGCGCCTCTGTCTGGTTTGTCTGGGGCTGCTAGCACAGAGCACAGTAAAGAAAGCTATGGCCACAGCCTCATGGGGCTTATACATATGCAACATGTGCACAGATGTAGTGTTTACCTTTCATCCGCACAGACAGACAGTCTGACACATATCTGACTTATACACAGCTGAGGCGCTCTCCTCAGCTGCCCACGGAGCTGCTCCACTTCATGCCTCCTACAGGTGGTCGATCCTGAGGGGGAGGGGCGAGCTACTCATGTGCACCATTGCTGAAGACTTACTGTTAACGTGTTGTATATGGCCAACGATGGGCCTATCAGAGGTGGATATAGGCTATGTCACAGTTTCTTAGAGCCAGATGATTTAGATTTGATAATCAAAGTTAATAAAGACAGACAGGCTGACCAATGTGGGAAATGTGTTCATAGTTGAGCATTGTATATATGTCTTCTAAAGCAAGTGTTAAACATAATTACATTTTGATTGAAGTTGCAGTTGAAGCCCCCATCAGTGTGTCCAAAGATGCTACTGCTGTGCCCAGTGAAGGTATTTGTCCTGAGTAATGTGATTAAACTAAAATGTATTGACTGTTTTTGGTTTTTTTTTTCTTATATAAATGTTCCTAAACTTGTCTTGCAGATTGGGTGGGGGAGGATGGCATGGAGATCAAGAGGCAGATCACTGGAATGATGAAGATTCTGAGCGACAGGAGTGGAAGGGGTTATCAGCGAGTCGGCCCGGTACTGTCCCAGGACAGAGGGGAGGATGGGGGTCAGTCTTCTCTGTGGCTGCCTGATGATGACCACGTCTGGACCTCTGTGGAGGGAATTGCACCTTCAACCCTGCCTTCCACGCACACCAATGCACCTGGGACCCGCTCCAGAGGTCAGAGAGAACTGCACAGCACGAAGGATTTGACCAAAGCACTTCAAGTCAGTGGTAAGCAGATAATAAAGTGCATAGTTACAACTTGTATCCCATAGAAGGTGTCATGCATGTTGTGTTTTAGCAGACACCAGGCCTCCCTCAACGGAACCACCCTGCTGCATGTGTAACTGTAAGGACACACTACAGGCCATTTTGCAGGAGCTTCAAGTGATGAGAACAATTTTGCAGTCTGAAAAAGGCAAGTTCACAAAATGTAAACAGACATTACATCACTTTTTTGAATAATTTTGGAAATATCATTTTAGTTCATGCTTTCTGTCTGTTTTTATCCCAACATTAAACATGTATAAACAGTAACAATTTAACTCTAACCTGATTAATTTGTTATTTGTATTTTATTACTCAAGTTATTATTTATTTTTATAGAAAAACAGGAGCCAAATGCAGTATTACCTTGTCAACCTGCCCTGCATGGCCCTACCCCTCCACACAGACCATTGAAGAGGAGGCCCATCTACAAAGTGCCACCCCTGGCGGAGTGCAGTGCTAGGCATGAACCTGTATCCCCTGTTCCTGTCTGTGCTCCTGTCTTTGCACCTGTCTCTGCTCATGCCTCTACTCCTGCACACAGTAGAGAGATCGGTGATGCTGTGAAACCAGTAGACACATTCAGAGCCCTGGGTCAGTCCATAGATGCACAGCCAGACAGTGCCAACAGTGATACCACCTCCCTGCTCCATCCGCCAAGTAAACATCTGGAATCAGAGGTGCTTGTAAAAAACATAGGCATTTGGCAATATTGTGGTGTTGCACAATCAATTGTGAAAAAGTTAGTGTGTGCCATATTTTAGCCATTTGATGTCCATGATGCACTATGTAACTTTTCTTGTGAGGGGTCCCCCACTAAACTTCTAATCAATCATACATTATTTAAACACAAATGTTTTTAGTGCACAAAAATATACCTTGAAAATCATGCATTCTTATCATGGTATCCAATGCAATCCTGGTATTATTGCTGTATTTTTGCTATTTCTCCCTATTGTTTCACATTCACCTAACATTCTTTTTTCATTCTCTTTCAGCCAGAGGTGCGTCTGGTAGAGGACTACGATGTGTTCATCTCAAAGGCTCAGCTCGACTCCATTTTGATCAACTACACTCGCTCTGGCAGCTTGCTCTTCAGAAAATTGGTGCGGCTAAATTTTTTCATCTATAATTTCAATTTGAATCTGTTTTTTAAATTTTCAAACTTAGGTGTGTGCCTTCTTTAACGATGCCACCCTGGCCAACTCTTTGCCCAATGGAAAAAGAAAAAGAGGGCTCAATGACTACAGAAAGGGCTTGGACCAGAACATTGTAGGAGCTGTTAAAGGTGAGACTGCAATACAGCAGTTAAACTATATATAGTAAGCACGTTGAGAATAAGATTAATGTGCATTTTTTTTAGCATTTACAGAAAAATATTGCATTGAACACAACATAGAAAAGCTGCCTGGCCCACGAGACTGGGTTCAAATCCTACAGGACCAGATCAAACTGGCCCGGAGGCGACTGAGGAGAGGTCAGTCATGAAGGCATAATGTATTTTAGTGGTGCATTATTTCAAAAAGTGTGCTATACTGTGATCCTCAGATGCAGCTGAAGACAAGATATAAAAATATCTTCAAACTATGCTCTTTATTTCTCAATCAGCTGATGTCTGTGGGTGGCCTTATGTGGTAGTGATGGCCCAACATTACAACTATTTCTTATGTAATAATATTTTTTATATCTCTACCTTTTGCTCCTCCTGATTTTCATTTTGCTTTAGGTCAGACACAAAAAAAATATCTCAGTTTCATCTCTAATAATAATGATCTCCAGGCCTATATTGATCCATGTAACATAGCCCAAATTCTGCCCATGCAGACCTATCTGAAGATTATTTAACATTATTTAAAAGCGACACTGTGTAACTTGTTAGCCCTTCAGAATGTTTTTCTTTTTTTTGGTTGTTTATTGTCATATGTTTTAATAATGCAAAAAGTCCCTGTGCTGACCCAAGCATAGAGGGGTCTGCATTACAGACTGTGGTGAGCGCTGACCCAAGTAATGGAACTTTCAGTTTTATCTCAAGTGTTTGATATTTCAACCTGTATTTATTTTTTTAAATGTTATAAACCAGTAGCATAATGGAACACTGTTATATTTTATTATAATTTGGCTGAAGTCTCTGCCCAGTGTCTCTGTAGTGTTGCTGTCAATGTTGCTTCAATAAACTGTCTTTTATAAAAACACTCAAAAAGTGGTCTTTGAATCAACCTTGTAGTCTTAGGTAGCCTATAGACCTAGTAATTATACAGTGTAATAGTATATAGACTAAAGAACCATATATGAAGGAAGTTTCATGACATGTCTGATGAAAGTCCAAAAGTTGCAGTTTATTAGAATAATAAGCTCTATTTTCTTTTTGGGGTAATTGGAGGGAAACCACTCAATTAAAGGTACACCCCTTTGTATGAATTTTGTTGCCAGACTTTTTAGCCCATTAAAGGGGAGGTTGAAGCCGCCTCCTGGAGCACGGAGGACCCGCGGACATCTTGTGAATATTTTCTTTATATTTGTTAACATTTTATTTTTCCATATGTACTCGAGATTTCCATGCATATGCATTCGTGTTCAAATAAGATAACATTTAAAGGTTTGATCCGTGTTGTGCGTAATCTGCCCCTATTTTAAAGCAAACCATGCTCTTTCTAGTCAGGCAGTGACGCAGGGCAGCTAAATGTCGCCTCGGTGCATTGTGGTTGCAGTCCCCGCTCTTGTGCTGGGGATCGCCGCTATCGTGAGCCTGGTAAGGAGAAACTGGCAGGGCAATTAAAGGGGAATTGTTGCAGGAATAAAACTCCGCTTTGGTCCTAGAATCTCTCATAAAGCCGCTGTAAACACTCGTATTGCTCCATGTCCGCACAAAGTTTGCACAAGGCGCATGCAGACTGCTGTTTTGCACATAGGGGCTGGGATGTTGCGCTCGTCGCATGGCGGAGGAGAGGAAGGGGTTAATTTTTTCCGCCGCCGACATTTTTATCTGCTCTACCATAACTTTTCAGCCTACATGCTTCACGAGTCTTTGCTAGGTTTTATGTTCGCCACATGGACTTCAGTTGTGCAGGGTTACAAGCACATGATCGTATTTTGCAGTGGCTCGTAACTTGTGTGTTTAGTTCATTGATGCTGCTTGTACACATCCCATGCCTCAGCGCTTAGCAAGTGTTAGCACGGAAACACAAACAGAATTCTATCAAAACAAAGCATCAATGAAAACAAAGCTCTTGGTCACATCCGTGTGAAGTAGTCCACTTGTGAAGTCGGCCAAAACAGTGTGCATAATGTTTGTAGAAGTGAATATGTGCTGCAGTGCATTCATCCCACAGTTGAATGAACTTAGCCATGTTACTGTGAACACTCCCCCTCCTGCACTGCACATGGAACAGAGAGCTACTCTGGTGGTGATCCAAGTTTGCATCACTACTCACACCTAGAAGTAGTAACTGTTATTGATAGTAATTGATTTAAATTATACTTTAACTGGTTTGTGGGATAAAGTTTTATCTGCATTCTACCAGTCTTTTACAAAAATGTAAAATATTCTGCTTGGTTAATATGCAACCATCTAACAGTATTAAATTTGTGTTTTAAACTGTGCATCACTTACACAGGGCGTTTTACTACATGTTATTACTATGTAATAATGATAATACTTGAAAATGTTGTAAGCCTGATTGTAGATTAAAAATCTTTTTTTTCTGTTGTAATCTCCAGCAGTGGTGAAGGCCCAGAGTTTCTCCAGACATGTCTGTGAGGGAGTCTTTTAACCCAGAGAGCTATGAGCTGGACAAGAACTTCAGGCTCACTCGCTACGCAGAGCTTAAGGGCACGGGCTGCAAGGTCTGTGGGACACTTTTTGGAACTCCTGTTTACAAAAGTTTAGATGTTATTTGTTTACAGCATGTGCACTATTTTACTCCAGGTGCCACAAGATGTGTTACAGAAGCTGCTAGAAAGTTTACAAGAAAACCACTATCAAGAGGATGAGCAGTTCCTTGGGGCAGTTATGCCTCGACTTGGTATTTGTTACATTTAACTATATTTTGAAAGGAAAATAGCTTGTTGTTAGATTGTACTCCATCGTACTACTGTACGATGTCAGAATGTTGTACAGATGGAAAATGGAAAAAATTAAGGTAAAATGTCCTCTGCAAGCATAAATGAAAGAAGGATTAGGATTGGATTAGGCATGCACAATTCAGCACCATTTATTAGTCAATTATAAACAATGACAACATTCATTACAAACTGAATCAGAATGCGTGGCACTGGTTGTTTTCTTAATAATAAGAATGTTTATAATCATAACAAAACCTACCTTCTTTTTGTGACAGGCATAGGCATGGACACCTGTGTCATTCCTCTCAGACATGGAGGCCTTTCACTAGTTCAAACAACAGATTATATTTACCCCATTGTGGATGACCCGTACATGATGGTACTTGCACTCTACACACTAATCCAACTGGTGTTTTTAAAAAATGCTAACCAAGTCTATATTTTTCAGGGAAGAATCGCATGTGCCAATGTTTTAAGTGACTTGTATGCCATGGGAGTAACAGAATGTGACAACATGCTAATGCTTCTGGGTGTCAGCAACAAAATGTCAGAGAAGGTATGACTCCTGACACTGAATAACATGATTTTTATGAAAATGTAAGTAATGCGTTTTGTTGATTTTGAATGTTTAGGAACGTGACAAAGTCATGCCACTAATAATCCAAGGCTTCAAAGATGCGTCAGAAGAGGCGGGCACTTCTGTGACAGGAGGTCAAACGGTACTCAACCCCTGGGTGGTGATGGGGGGTGTAGCCACAACAGTCTGTCAGCCAAATGAGTTTATTATGTAAGAACTATTTGAGTATTTCTTGTATACTATATGAAATAATATATTGTGTATTTTTTGATGGTGATGATGGTTAAAATATTGTGATGTTGTGTTGTTTGACCCAGGCCCGACAATGCAGTTCCTGGAGATGTGTTGGTCTTAACTAAACCTTTAGGGACACAAGTAGCTGTTGCAGTGCACCAGTGGCTAGATATTGTATGTATTGTTTTATCACAAAATAAGTGTGTATGTGTGTGTATATATATGTATGTGTGTGTGTGTGTGTGTATCATTCGTTCATTTGGTTTTCAAAATGAAACCAAAAACAAGAAAATGAAAAAATAACTGTTTTCTTCATTGTTTGTCTCCAAAACCAAAATGAAAAAAACAGATAACGATTTGTTTTTTCAGTTTTCGATTTTGTGTTTAAATGAAGAATGGAAAAAACAGATAACGTCCGTTTACCGTTTACGTGACTTAAACTGCAATGCCGGACTTTTGCATTGCATATGGACTGAACCAGGACTGATCCAGGTGCGGGACCAGAGCGGGACCAGAGCGGGACCAGAGCAGAGTTCGAGCTTTGACTCCGAGCCTCCGCAGGGTTCAAGCTTCAGCTTCGAGCTCCAGCCCTGCCGTGGGCTCTGAGCCTCCGGTCTGGTCCCGGTCTCAGTCCCGGTCTTGCTCCGGTCTGGTTCCGGACCTGGGCCGGACCAGTCCTGGATCAGTCTGTATGCAGCACAGAAGTCTGACGTCGCAGTCACGTAAGTCATGTAAACGGGAAACGGTTGTTATCCGTTTTTTCCATTTGTCATTTAAATTCAAAATCGAAAACTGAAAAAATGAATCATTATCTGTTTTTTCATTTTGGATTTGGAGACAAATAATGAAGAAAACAGTTGTTTTTTCATTTTCTTATTTTTGGTTTTATATTGAAAAACGAATGAACGAATGATACACGGATTATATATATATGTAGTTTCTTAATAACATACTTTATCATTCTTTGTTTTTAACCATCAGCCTGAGAAATGGAACAAGATAAAGCTTGTTGTAACTCAGGAAGACGTAGAACTGGCCTATCATGAGGCCATGATGAACATGGCCAGACTCAACAGAACAGGTTAGTTGTGCATCCATAAATCATTACCTCCGCCAAGGAAGTTATGTTTTTGCCAGCGTTTGTCTGTTTGTTTGTTTGTTTGTTTGCCTGTTAGCAACATAACTCAAAAAGTTATGGACCGATTTTGATGAAATTTTCAGGATTTGTTGGAAATGTGAAAAGGAAGAACTGCTTTCATTTTGGGGGTGATCCGGAAGAAATCCTGGATTCTGGATCACTTTTAGTTAACATTGTGGTAAATGGGGCCAAAAATTTTGTTTCTCAATATCTCGGTTAATTATTGACCAAACCCCATGAAATCTGACTCAGGGATGGACAATGGGATCCTCTTTTATATTCCAAAGGCTGATCCGGATCTGATCCAGAACCTTTTATCGCAATTTATATAAAAAATGGGGGTAGTCCTTGGCGGAGGTCTGCGCTCTCTGAGTGCTTTTCTAGTTGTAAATGTGTCATTGCTTTTCTAAAGCTTTAGTTTGAACTGTCCTTGTAGCGGCTGGTCTCATGCACACCTTCAACGCACATGCTGCAACAGACATCACAGGATTTGGGATTTTAGGCCACGCACAAACTCTGGCAAAACAGCAAAGAAGTGAGGTGTCATTTGTCATCCACAACCTCCCAGTACTCGCCAAGATGGCTGCCGTGTCTAAAGCCTGTGGAAACATGTTTGGACTTATGCACGGCACCTGCCCTGAAACCTCAGGTGTGTCAGTACAGATAAATCGTATATATGTACTGTAGACTCTATCAATATCATTACCTAAGAATAACATCTTTTTTTGTGTGTGTCTTTAGGGGGCCTTCTTATCTGCTTGCCTCGCGAACAAGCTGCACGTTTCTGTGCTGAAATCAAATCACCCAAATATGGTGAAGGTCATCAGGCGTGGATCATTGGGATT